GCCCGCGCTGCGAGACGAGGGCGGCCGCCGCTGGGTTCGGCCACCCGCCGCGGGTGTTGTGCGTTGGGATCACCCCCAACGGCAACGCCGCTGGCGTCGCGGCTCCCAAGGGAGGCGTCGCGGCAATCGTCGCGGCTGCAACCGCAACGCTTTGCATCGGAGAAGGCGGCGGCAGAGGCGCGAAGGCGATCGGCGGCAACGCCGCCCGCTGCGGCGTTGCCTGGGCGCCGAGCGCTGCGTTCCTGTTGCCGCGCAAGCTGATGAGCTTCCCGAGGATCTGCGTCTCGAGAAGCCCAATTGTCGGCTGCACGGGCCCCTCCGAGGCGAACGCCTGCTCGTACAGCGTCGGCCTCTCCTGCTGGAACAGCGCCGCCGAGGGGGAGAGCGCGCCGACAAACTCGGTCGCCTTGCCTCGAGCAGCTGTGTAGGCAGGGGAACGCCACGTGGTCTTCACCAACTGCAAGTACACGTCCAAGAGCTGCGGAGTCGGCGAATTCTTCTCGATGCCTGATCGCTGGCACGCCAGGAACATGAACGCGGCTAGCATGCCAAACGTCGGCTCGGAAGGGTTCCGGAGCCCGAGGCGCTCCAAGTGGCGCATCAACATGACAAATTTCGAAGCGAACGACTCGGTTGGGCTCAGCAGCACGTGCCACGTGGAGGCAGTAAGCAACTCCACGAAGCACTCGTAACTTTGCCCTTTGGCCTTCGTGCGCCTCCCGCAGAGCCACTCGGTCGCGGCGCCGACCAAATCGTGACTGAACCCCGTCTGCCCGAGCTGGGTCAGCAGCTGCCCTTTCTCCGTGGCCGTCCACCTGCAAAACGACGGGGGAATGTTAGACGGCGGGGAGGAGGGGGGAGCGGGCGGCGTTCCGCCGAACGGAGGCGGGGACCTCCTCGAAGGGGGAACGGATGGCCTCTCGCCCGTACGGGATCTTTGACCCGAGCCTCACCTCTGGCCTTCGATGAGCGCGCGCACCTTCCCGAAGTGCAGCTGCTCTGCAGCGCCCCTGGAAGGCCCGCTCGCCGCTGCAAGCGCCGCGGCTGCCTCGCCCAGGGCAGCCTGGACGCGCTCCATCGCGCCGCGGCGCGTCGGGGGGCGCCCGCCCCGCGGCCCCTCCAGAAGCGCTCGGTGGGACAGGGGCAGCGTATTGTGGCGAAGGGAAATGGCATGGCCCTTCACGTCTTCCTTCTGCTATCCTCTCCTCCCCCCTCTCCCCTCCTCCCCCCTCCTGGGCGGTGCGCCGCCAATGCGACCAATCAAACGGTATATGATGAAACGTGCGCCGAAGGCGGTGCACCGCCAACGAATGCAGAAACACCTCGCGCAATCAAGGTGACGTGGGCGGTGGGCCGCCAAATGCGATGACAAACTCGGGCGAAGCATGCGCCGCGGGCGGTGCACCGCCAACGCGAAAGAAACGCATCGCGCAATCACGGGGACGTGGGCGGTGTACCGCCAAATTCGATGACGAATTCGGATGAAACGTGCTGCGTGGGCGGTGCTCCGCCGATGCGTGAAGAAACGATTCGCGCAATCAAGGGAACGTGGGCGGTGCACCGCCAACGCGACGAAACTTCAATCAACATGTGCAAAACGTACAAATTGCAATACGCGGGCAAAACATAGCGATGGGCGGTGCGCCGCCAATGCGATAAAACTGCTCAGAATTTGCAAGACGTGGGCGGTGGGCCGCCGAAACGAATCACATCAGAACGCGCCGCGATGAGAAGTGCGGGCGGTGTGCCGCCAATGCGCATGGCATCCCCTCCCGATCCCCCCCCCGCCATTCCCGCCCCCTCTCTCCTACCCCCCAGGCTGCGCGGGTTGAGCTCGGTGATGAACGGCCTTCTCGGTCGCCTGGCGCCTGGCGAAACACTGTGCTGAAGAAAACCTGCGCGTTTTTCGGTGTCCGACCCCCTTTTCAAAAAGCAGACGAAAAAGCAGACTTATCGGACTTAAACTTATCTTATTTATAAGTATCACTACAAGTAACTTATAAGTATGGCAATTGGTTGCACACAAGTAACATATGTTCTACATGTGATTTAAGTATATATGTTAATGACTTAAGTTAGATGTGGATGGTAGTTGCAGGATCTTAACATATCTCACTACAAGTGATTTCAAGTTACTTACAAATAACTTCATATATAATTGAAGTAACTTATAAGTGACTTCATCTGACATAAATCTCATATGTCAACGCCATCACCAAAGGGGGGGGGGGGGAAGGGGTTCGAACCGGTAGTGACCCCCCCGGTTTTCGAGCGGGAAGGGGGGGGGGGGGGGGGGGGTAGGGGGAGGGGGGGGGTTTTGCCGGGGGAGAGGGGGGGGGGGGGGGGGGGAGGGGTTCCGGCAGGGGGGGGGGGGATTTTCGGAGGGGGGGGGGGGAGACCCCCGGGTTCCGGAGGAAAAGGTTGGCAATTTTCCACAGTAAAGCGGCGGTGGATCACGCTCTCTCTGATATATACACAAACGATCTAAGACACATGTTAAGACTTGCAAGAACCGTGTTCAAATGTTCAAAACAAAAAACGCTTATTTGTTGAAACCGTCTTTTGAAGAAGACTGCCACAACGTGCGTGGTATTCGCGTCGGCCCGTGAAGGGTTCTGTGAGTTCGGTGTGCGTGGCACACATAAAATCAAAACATTTGGATTTCACGTGTGCGTTCATGCAGCGATATATTAGTATTATGATCATTATTATGTAAAATCATACGCCTCCACTCCAACTTCACGCCACCGTCATGAAAAGCGCTTCCAACCAAAAAGTACACGTGCTTTCGCGAAAACACGGTTCACCACGCACCAAATCCGTTTCAGCAACAACCGACACATCGACACATCAGCACTTGCAAGGGTTATCTAAACCAATGTCGTAATCATGTATCTCAGCGAACGAACAAACGCGCCAACGCCACACGAAAACACCTGCATTGCGTTCCATAGTTGCATTCGTAGCCCCCGTAAATCTTCCCCCTCTCCTCCATCGTCCGTTTTCTTCTTGACTGATGCCCCGCATACGGGCGGATACATAGGGAGAGAGGTATGACCTAGATAGATACGTAGACAGCGAGAGAGAGAGAGAGAGAAGGAGTGACGAGAGAAAGAGATAACAACAACAAAAGACGTACATGCTCGACGCTTCGCGTATCACCACCAGCCCATGCAAAGACAGACGCCAATTCAGTTGACATGCTCACCTCTTGGACCGTACTGTGGCCTCGGAGGAGCCTTTCGGGGTCCTTTCGAGGATTCTAACTATTCTCCGCAGATTCGACGAGAAAGCTAATTCTGGGGTGAATCAATTCTGTAGTCGATCCCCTACTCGAAGGACTACCACCACCACCACCACCACCCAGGGAGTCAGGGTCGGAAAAGGGCGGGGTGCGGGGGTCGACGCCATCCCGGCGAGGGCTGGTCCGCCGCGACAGGGCCGAGGCCGCCTCGACATGACGTCGCCGCCTCGCAGATGGGGCCTGGGCCGCTACGGCCTAGCATCCCTGGGGTTAGGTCGGGCATGTCCTCCTACAGGTGGATTTGGAAAAACTTGGACAATAGCCAACAAATATTCACACATAGCCAAAACAGCACGACAAATAGTCACCTGACTATTTTTTATGTTCTTGAACATGCCTCCAGTAGAGGGACATGCCCGACTTCATCCTGGGGGCTACCCACCAACACCTGTTTGACAACACCGTATCCGCGCGTCAGCGCAAAAGCAGCGTCGAAGAACAGGTGACGGGGCACAGATCACCGAAAGAACTGCTGGCGAATCTGCGGCGGGTCTCGCATGAATTTTACAAAGCCGGCAACAAAACCACCCCTGGGCCTGGACACGTAAAACCACGTGGTTCCAATTCGGGACAGTCCCACGTGTTTTAACATGTCCAGGCCACCCAGGGGGGATATCTAACATGACTGTCCCGAATTGGAACCTCGTGGTTTACGTGTCCAGGCCACCCAAGGGGGTATCTAACATGACTGTCCCGAATTGGAACCACGTAGTTTTGCGTGTCCAAGCATATCTGCCGGGAATCAGGCGCGAAGTCCGCGGGAATTTCTCCCAGGAATCTGGCGAGAAGCCCATCGCAATTCCCTGGAATCCAGTGGACATCTGGCGCTGACAGACGTAAAACGCTGGCGACGCTGGGGAAGCCATGGTCGAATCGGACGATGTGGCTGCAACGCGAGCTTCTTGCACAATGTACTCGTTAGTCGTGTGACCAGCTGTTCACTGCGTGCACCCCTTTTTCGACGCCGATCCGCTCTTGCCAACGAGAACCATGGCATCATCATTCGATGGCAAATATAGGCGTTCGAAACACATGGAGTCTGGGAGGATCCGACGTTGATGATGAGGCCTCTGTGGCCGTGCAATGGTTTCTTTTGAGGGGGCCAACTGGGCAACACCAACATGATATACACTTGTCTGTTCTTCGGCGAGCTGGATCCAACAGGCGGTCGGCTAACGGCTAGCTGGACACAGCAGGCGGTCGGCCAACGGAGAGACGCGTCAGAAGCGAACTCTGAGCAGGGACCGACCGTCCCGGTATTCCTATAGGCCTACCATGGAATCTTCTCAGGACCAAAACATGTTCAAAAACAAAAACAATGTTCCTAGAACATAAACCCGATGTGTTAAAACAAGACAGTCCCTGCCTGAAATGTTCTACGAACATTACGTAGAAACCACAAAGAAGTTCTTAGAACATTGTTTGGTTGGCCTATCGGCGAGCCAGGACGCTCCGCCGCTGCTCGAGAACTGCGCACGCACGAACGGGAACGCAGGGGCGAGGGCAGGAAGAGCCGCGGGACGCCGGCAACATACCATACACATCCAGCCGCCTCACTACTGTGCCGCATCTTGAGAGCAGCGGAACGTGAACGAACACTCCGAAACGCACTGCTCTTTATTACTCCCACGGGCTGCCTGTCTGCGGGCCCGGGACTCCGGGACCCGGGGCGGCTGGAGGCGGCGCAGCGGGGTGCCTTGCCCGTGGTGGGCGGCTCGAGGTCGAACGTGATCTTCTCCCCGCGCTTGAGCCCCTGGCGGCACGCCAAGCGAGAGACACGCTCTCGTTGACGATTTACAGCCAAGGCCAGTCCACAGGAAACCCATCGCAAGAAACCGAACCCTGAAAAGCGCCCAAGCTTGTGGGGCCAGGCACTAGATGCTACTCAGGATGGCCTGGGCCAGGTGGTTGAATGTCTCGCGCAACGCATCTCAGCCAAAGAAGACGCATGTCCTCCAATGCGAAGGCAAACCAAAGAAACCCAGAATACCCTGGCAAAACGTGCGGTGTTTCTTGGCATGGGCTCCCACTGTACATCCGCACTATGATCATCGCCACCGTCGTCATTCGTGCCTGCACCTTCGCGGTGCCACTTCCTTGCCTGGTCTCACTCGCGTGCGTCCTCTACACAACCTGGGAATGGAAGCTTGCTCGTTTGGTAGATGTCCCGCGCCGCACAATCTTTGCCCCAATTGCTCAAGCCGTGTGATTGCAGGACATACTCTGGTACTGCTGTTGGTGCTAGCTTCGAGCAGCCAGAGCAGCAAACATCCGCTGGGCCTCTTGGGGACGCAAGGCTGTGAGGCTCTTGCTGGACTTCTGTCTTGCTGCCTTTGCGCTGTCGTTTGTGGCTTGCCTCTTGTCTCTCCAGTCCTGCCTCCGTTCTACTCTCCACCAGGGGGGTCACATCGCCAATCAGGCAATCACCTGGTGTGTGTGTGTGTGTGTCTGTGTGTGTGTGTCTGTGTGTGTCTGCGTGTGTGTGTGTGTGCGTGTGTCTGTGTGTCTGTGTGTGTGTCTGTGTGTGTGTTTGTGTGTGTGTGTGTGTCTGTGTGCCTGTGTGTGTCTGTGTGTGTGTGTCTCTGCGTGCCCGTGCCGTTGCGTGCTCCTGTGCCTGCAGGCGTGCGCCCAATTCCTTTGTTCCGTCTTTTATCGGCTGGTCGGTGTACAGGATCGGGCCTGCATAAAGAGCACTTGCTTTTCAAAAAGGGCTCGGCCGTTCCTTTGGTTTACACGCGTTCCGCTACTTTTTTTGGCGGCGAGGCCCCCCTGGTGTTCCCTCGGACTTCGTAAGACGTGCTTGGAAACAAAGGGGCTTTGTTCCTTATTCGTCGTTCCCTAGGTCAGGCCGAATACTGCACTGCCCGTCCCCGTCTTCCGACGCAGTCTCAATTTTCTCACTCGCCACCCGCGCCTTGGTGGCCTCTGGGCGGTGGATCCCGAGGTGGTCCCGCGTCTGGAGGGTCCGACTGCGCGCGTCAGATCTGTGACGCTTGCTCTCTCGACTTGCTCCGCCTCGTCGCCGCGCGGCGATCGTCACAAAAGTTGTGTGCCTGTTCCTGCTGGCCGCTGTGGGCTGCCCGAGAACTCCCCGGAAGGACGCCACCGCACGGACGGGAGGGCCCAAATGGCCTCGAAGCCCCACGGGGCCCGGAAGAAGGCCGCGTCCGAGGCTCGCCGTAAGATCCAAGATGGCCCAGGAGGGCCACAAGACGCCACCGACAGAGCAAACGCAATTGAAACGCAATGTGGTTTCAAATGTTCTTGTCTGTCCCAAGATCGCAGAAAGACAGCCCCCAGAAACGTCAATGTTGCTCAAGCCAGCCAACGTGGTCCCAAAAGGTCCTACACAACAAATCAAGGATTGCCCACCAAGCCCCCCGATGACGGTTTCAAGCTGACCCAACTATTGCCTAAGATGGCCCCGGAATGTCCCAGGATGCCCTCATATGGCCCCAAACTTGTTCAACTGGGCCGGGCCAGAGCGAACGACTCCTTGCCCGCCCGTCTAGACGCCTCCTGGATGGGGTCGAAGTAGGCGCCCGTAGGGGCTCAACGCAATCGCGCAAGCAGGCGTTGCCGCGCCACATCAACGATCGGCGGGGCGCCACCCGAAAGATTTGTTGTGCCAGCGGGCAACCGCGGAATTCCGCCGATTGAATTCGAGCGCCCCGAATGACACTCCGAAGGCCCTGCGGAAGCAGATCCCGCCGTGGGGCACCGCGAAGATGTCTGCCACTGCTGGGCTGCATCGCGATGACGTCGGACCAGGCCCGGAGTCATGGCAAAAACCGGCCCTATCCGAGAGCCTGGAATATGTTTGCACATCTTTGGGTAACTTATAACAATACAAATCCCCACTGCTGCCAAAAACATGTTCAAACATATTCAAATATATCCAAAGATATTCAAAGATATCCAAACCAGTTTCCAAGCCAGACGTTCTCGGATTTGGGCTGGAATTAGGGATTGGTCCTGGGCCGTCTGGTCGACCGGCTCCCCCCCCGGTAACCAATGCAAACTGTAGGGTGCGACGCGTATGCGTTCCTGTCGATTGCAAACGGTGGGCCCGAACCTAGCGCGCTCAGATGCGAGCATAATCGCGCGATGCGGGTGCCGACGCGAGGTCGAGCTCACTCCAGAAGAAAAATCACCCGACCACCTTTGGGCCAGCGCCAAAGGTCTCTCCGGCGACGGGCCACGCTTACGCGTAGTCGATGAGATGGCCCGCGGAAGCCCTTTGGCCACATTCGATCCCTACCCCACCTCCCCCTGAGACATGCGAGGTGGTGATCATGTGGCCACCGATCGGTGCCCGCCCGTCTGAACTGGGAGCTGCCGAGACGGGGGTGTCCGAGAGGGGGGGTGCAAATCATGACCGGCGGCATGTGCGCGGCCCAGCGGGGGGGCCAGGGACGCAACGAAATGAGAAGAGGCGCCATGAAATCTGGGAAACATCATGGCCCCCGCAACGATATCCCCCCCCTAATCATCACCCCCTTCTATGCCGCCCCCGACTGAGATGGCCCGCGGAAGTGGCTCCGACCGGACGCGCTGCGGCAGAACGCGCCAGCAAAGAGAGGCGGAAGCAAGCGCCCGGCCCGATGGGAACCCCTCGGAAGCTCTTAGGCCACATCCGAACACTACCCCACCTTCCCCCCTCAGAAATGTGGGGTGGTGGTCATGTGGCCACCAATCCTTGCCCGCCCGTCTGAGATGGCCCGCGGAAGCGGCCCCGGCCGCGCGCGGCAAAACGCGCCAGCGAGGAACGGCGGAGGGAAGCGCCCGGCCCATGAGGACGCCCCTTCGCCCACCCGAGAGCTGGGGACCCGAGGCCTGCTCGGCGTCGGGCCTGGGGGTGGGCGAGAGGAGAAGGAGGCGGAGGAGGAGGCGGCGGAGGCGGAGGAGGAGAAGGAGGTGGATGGGGGAGGAGGAGGGGGAGGAGGAGGGAGGAGGAGGAGGAGGGGAAGGAGGAGGAGAAGGAGGAGGAGGAGGGGAAGGAGGAGGAGGGAGGCGGAGGCGGAGGCGAAGGCGGAGGCGGAGAAGGATAGGGAGGAGGAGGGGGAGGAGGACCACTGTAAATCAAAAAAAAATCAACGACGGTGGAAGAAAACCTTCCTCCAAGCTCCCTGTTCATAGGCCCCATATAAGGCGCATCTCCACTGAGGGGACTGCCTCGTTGGAGAACAGACGTTGGAAGATCTTGGCGCATGCCGAAACACCGTTCTCGGGATTCCGACGCTACGGATCAACCTGGCTGTTGCGTCTTGACGAACCTGAATCGCGACAGAACGCCATTCTTGGGGTTTCAACACCGCGACTTCACGTGAAGTTGCACACTCATTACCCTCACGCCTTCCAAAATACTGTTTATGGTACGCTGATCATGGGAATCCGTGAATTTCTTGCAAATCCACAAAACGAACGTGCGCGGCCCTAGTGCGAGAACAACATTTTGAATAAGAGCGGCCCTCGATCCATGAAGCTCTTGCAAATTCTGAATACGAATATGCGCTGCGCTAAGTCGAGAAGCGCAATTTGATAACACAAAAATATCGCCCTCTTTCCGTAACTCTTGCAATTGATTTAGACGGGTGCGCGCGGCGCGCAGGCGAGAGCCGCATGCTGAAAACCACCCCCAACCCCCTTTATGTTTGAAGCTGTTGTCGATTTTAAAATTCCAGGGCCATGAATGGTGAGGAAGTGTCAAACGAACCGCCCGAAACTCCCTAAAAGCAGGCCTCGGGGTGCGACAGGGAGAAGCCATCCATCATAAGTGGACTGGAGGGGGAAGAGGAAGAGGAGAACGAAGAAAAACAAATGCACCGAGCTTCTTCGAACTTCTTCCGGACCCTCCGAAATTACCCTGAAGTTCCTCCGGTACTTCCGACCTCTCGACCCCTATTCCTGGAGGCGTGGTTTCTCTCCACACGCGCGTTTAATGATAAGCGGCACAGTCCTCTGTACCTTCAGTCGTTGATGGGCATATTTGCAAGATGGAGGGGGAGGGAGCGCAACGGCCACGCCGGCGATGTTTACCTAACGCGAGGAGGAAGAGGAGGACGAGGGCGAGGAGGAGGAAGGGGAAGGGGGGGGAAGAG